TGTCAGACGATTTCCTTTGTTTTTTTTTTTTGTTACTCTTTTACATTATACTCTCTCGCTCGCTCGCTCGCTCTCTCTATCTGTCTCGCTCTCTATCTGTGTTTCCTTGTTATTCCTTTTCCCTTTTTCCGTTTTTTTTTTTTTTATTAGTTAGGTACGCTGTAGTCGTCCTCACTTTAATAACGTGTTTTTTTTTTCTTTGTTATGTTTGTTTATTTTATTTTTTTTTTAATGTGTGTGTGTTATACACGCGATCGCGTACATCAGTTGGATAGTGTGTCTTAGGTACACCGTTAGGTGCCCGTGTGTGTATATTTTATATCTTAAATATCTACTACTTGTTGATGCTTTGTAATTTGTAATTTGTATAGATCACAATATGTCACCATCTGCGCCAGTTCAACGATCTTTCTCTACGCCTTTTCTTTTGCCGTTTCCATCAGAACGCTCGTATATTTGGACAATATTTATATACTCCTTGTGCACAGATTGCGGGTTCACCGACCCCCTTGAACTCAATGAAACAGTTTGACAAATAGTGCAAAAAAAAGGAAGAGAGAAAATGGTACGATTTAATAGTAATAATAATAGTAATAATATAAAAAAAAAAAAAAACAAAGGAAATCGTCTGACACAGTAAAAAGTAAGCAAAGTAATATAAAGAAAGAAGGATAAGCAAACAAAAAAAAAAAACAAAGGAAATCGTCTGACACAGTAAAAAGTAAGCAAAGTAATATAAAGAAAGAAGGATAAGCAAACAAAAAAAAAAAACAAAGGAAATCGTCTGACACAGTAAAAAGTAAGCAAAGTAATATAAAGAAAGAAGGATAAGCAAACAAAAAAAAAAAACAAAGGAAATCGTCTGACACAGTAAAAAGTAAGCAAAGTAATATAAAGAAAGAAGGATAAGCAAACAAAAAAAAAAAACAAAGGAAATCGTCTGACACAGTAAAAAGTAAGCAAAGTAATATAAAGAAAGAAGGATAAGCAAACAAAAAAAAAAAACAAAGGAAATCGTCTGACACAGTAAAAAGTAAGCAAAGTAATATAAAGAAAGAAGGATAAGCAAACAAAAAAAAAAAACAAAGGAAATCGTCTGACACAGTAAAAAGTAAGCAAAGTAATATAAAGAAAGAAGGATAAGCAAACAAAAAAAAAAAACAAAGGAAATCGTCTGACACAGTAAAAAGTAAGCAAAGTAATATAAAGAAAGAAGGATAAGCAAACAAAAAAAAAAAACAAAGGAAATCGTCTGACACAGTAAAAAGTAAGCAAAGTAATATAAAGAAAGAAGGATAAGCAAACAAAAAAAAAAAACAAAGGAAATCGTCTGACACAGTAAAAAGTAAGCAAAGTAATATAAAGAAAGAAGGATAAGCAAACAAAAAAAAAAAACAAAGGAAATCGTCTGACACAGTAAAAAGTAAGCAAAGTAATATAAAGAAAGAAGGATAAGCAAACAAAAAAAAAAAACAAAGGAAATCGTCTGACACAGTAAAAAGTAAGCAAAGTAATATAAAGAAAGAAGGATAAGCAAACAAAAAAAAAAAACAAAGGAAATCGTCTGACACAGTAAAAAGTAAGCAAAGTAATATAAAGAAAGAAGGATAAGCAAACAAAAAAAAAAAAAACACGAGCAACGTGCGAATACACAACTTTTTCCTCTTTCGGACAATAGTTTTTTGCTTTCCCCTTCTTTGCTAATTTATCTAGGCTAAACTCGTATGTGGTTTTCGGTATTCTCTTAATATAACCGTTCGGTGTGTGTGTGTATGTGTGTAGAGAGAAAAAAGAAAAAAAAACGACGTTACAAGAACAAGACGAAGACGATGATGATGATGATAAATGATGATGATGATAACGACGAAGAAGAAGAATAAGGGTAATTCGTGGTGATCGATGTTATGTTCAAACTATTCTTAAATTGAAGAGGATCGGGATTATATTATATCTTCTCGTTGATTCACCCACTCGTGCGTATTTCGAATTTGTTATTGTGATTTATATTTCATATTTATATTCATCAAAACCTACGTGCTAAGTAAATTCAGACCAGCCGAAATTGTCGATTTCGAAGGAAATGCAATCAAAGAAATATCTTATCGAAATAGATAATAGGTTCATTGCTAAAAAATAAATAAAATTTTTACTCATCTCTTCAAACGTAAACGCGCCGATAACGCACGAATCGGAACGCGTCCCCATTAATTAAATAGCACTTTATGCGTTTATAATGCATCTATGCCGCTCCGCTGTTCTCTCTTGAACTCTCATCTCTCTCCCTCTCTCTTTCTCTCCATCTCTCATCTTTTTTTTTCTATTCCGCACCAGTGCGAAATATATTTAGATTATTATTTCAGTTAAATTGTTTTATCTCGTTTCGATCACGAAGAAACGCAAGAGAACGGATAGACATTATTTCATCTTTCATTACTTTTTTTTTTTTTTATTTTTATCTTTCTTTTTCATTTTTCTTTTATCATTGTTGATATTAGCACAGCGTTGCAGAATCAAAGCGTATTAAGATTTTCCATTTCCACTGAGAAATAACTCGACTGCGTTAATTCTCCTCCGACTCGGTCGTTCGTCTTTGAATATTTATTTATTTGCCTTTTCTTTTCCCGTTCGTATCATATATCTTTGCATTTTTTTTTCCTCACGTTTATTTTACTTTTCTCTTCCACCCCTTTTCTTTCTTTCTTTCTTTTCTTATTTTTCTTTCTCACTTCCTCTCTGTTCTTCTCTGTCACGTGTTTTTTTTTTCTCTTCCTGCGTCCAGGGGATTGGACCTAAGCGACTGCAGGCCCGCAACACCTTCAATTCGATTGATCGTGCGTTGCTGTAGGTGATACAGTTGCCTGGGTCCACGGACATTGGCATTTCGTTACAATTATACAGTTATATAGATTCTATATAAATACCTATTATGCATTCGTATAATACATACCTAATATGCAATTGTGTTAGAACTCGGCCGTCACTCAAACGTAACGTATTTACGTACGCGTGCACACCGTCTCTTGTACCGTTCGTCTTTCATGATGGAATATTTCTTGTACGTGTGTATCAATGTATTACATGGTATGTACATACGCACGCAAGTATGTATATAATGTGTGTGTGTGTGTGTGTGTGTATGCATGAGAGAGAGGTTTGCGTATTTCGATATAACGTGTGTACATGTCTCTTATGTTTCTTTTCTTTATGGTGGATGTGTGTACGTTGTCTATAACGTGTACGTGTGTATATATGACTTGTATGTATGTGTGTGTGTGTGTACCGTTGTATCTCTGCACTGGCATCTCAATAATTCGGACACCAGATTCATATATATCATCCGCGTCTGCATGCGCACTTTTCCCGTACGAATCGTTGAAACAAAACGTAACATAATTAACTTTGTATAATATACATATTATAGGGATTCGTATTCGGCTAGAATCTTTTTTTTTCTTTTCACCTATGTTATATATTATTTCATTAATTACTTTTTCTTTTTTCTTTTAATAGAGACGTCGTTCAGTTTGTTTAAACGAGTGTGTAAACGGCGTCGCGGTTCCTAGATTCAGATTCGACGTTCACGCGTCAAGCGA